GGGGTGAGGAAGAGGGCAGCACGCGGACGGAGCTCCCGCCCGTGCACCAGGCACTGGGCTCACGCTGACACCCACCTAGATGCTTGCCCTAAACCTGAGAGATTAGGTATGGCCGCTCCCATGTTCCAAGAGAAGAAAAACATCAAATTACTTAAATAATCAATCACAATTATTAATATAATCAACTAATATTTAAACAAGTAATTATATTTATTGATACACATCATTGATATTATTTGTAATCAATAAATAATTATATTAAAACAATTAATACCCTTAACATTTATTTTTATTTTAAAAAGATTTTATTTATTTTTAGAGCGAGGGGAAGGGAGGGGAAAAGGGAGGGAGAGAAAAGCATTGATGGGTCACTTCTAGTATGTGCCCCTGCTGGGGACCAAACCCGTGACCCAGGGACGTGCCCGACCAGGGATCCAACTGGTAGCCTTTCGCTTTGCGGAAGGATGTCCAACTGACTGGGCAACGCCGGTCGGGCACCACTGCTGACATTTACACAACGCCGACCACGTGTCCGGCAGTGGGGGAAGCTGACCCCCAGGGCAGCTCCTGACATGAGTACTATTCTGACTCTCGTTTCACAGAGGAGAGACTGAGACTCAGAGAGATGAAGTAACTCCCCCAAGGTCACCCAGGGAGACAGCAGCAGAGCCAGGATTCGAATGCAAGCTCCAGAGCCCTTAGACCTGGGCATTTCCCACGGGAGTGTGGGGGTGGGTCTGAAAAGTCACGGGGGCAGCGGCTGTTCCTACTTGTTCATAGTGGGGGCCCGGTGTGGGAGTGATGTAACCGACCATGTGATTGGAGGCACTCCCTTCCTCTGCACCCGGGGGACAGTTTGTCCCAGCTTGTGTGGCTGTTCGTCATTCGGCCGTTGACCTAAAGTTTAAAATTTCATTCATAAGTTTGGAACCACGAACTTGGCTGTGAGAGAAGAGCCCTTGGAGATCAGCTATTCTAGTCCACTCCCCTCATATTACAGATGAAAACAAAACAAACAAACCAACCCCAAGGTCCAAAGAAGGGCATGCACAGGGCAAGGCCACAGCGATTCTCCGTTAGGAGGAGGAGCTGGTCTGAAGTCAATTACAGATCATCTTGTTCTGTAATTACCAAATATAGCTGCACCTCTGAAGCACTTGGGCAGCTTTATTTATTTAAAAAAAAAATTAAATCCCCACCCCAGGACTCTGTCTTCATTGTTTTTAGAGAGGGGAAGAGAGAGACAGAGAGAAAGGGAGAGAAACATCGATGGGTTGCCTCTCCTACACGCCCAACCGGGACGACCTAGGATCCGTCTTGACGGGGGAATGGAATCTTCGTGCTTCAGCCAACGGAGCCACACCAGCCACCAGCGAGGGCTCACTTGGGGAGCTCTCTCTCTCTCTCTCTTAAAAAAAAAAAAGATTTTATTTATTTTTATTTTATTTTTTAAGACTTTATTTATTTTTAGAGAGAGGGAGAGAGGGGAAGAAACTTCGATGTAAGAGAGCAACATTGATCGGTGACTGCCTCTCGCACGCACCTCTACTGGACCGGACCCAGGCATGTGCCCTGACGGGATGGAACCAGTGAACTTCTGCTTTTCGGGACGACACCCAGCCAACTGAGCTACCCCGGTGAGGGTGGAGAACTCTTTAATATACAGACCTCTGCACTCTGCTTCTGGAGATTCAGAATTTGGTTTGCAACAACATCTGGGAATCTGACTATAGGGTATTTTCCTCAGGTGATTCAGATGGAACAGGGCCATGGACCACATTTAGAAGTTCGGTCCAATGTCCCTCTTTCATTTTACAGTTTGGGAAAGTAAGAACCAGCACGGGACTTGCCTGAGGTCATAGGACAAGTCGGTGCAACCCTACCTAGTTCAGGCTTTGTGGTCTGACCTCAAAACTCATTCTTCTTCAGGCTGCCAGTGGTCAAATTCTTTTTTGTTTTTTTTTTAAGATTTTATTTATTTATCTTTAGAGAGGAAGGGAAGGAGAGAAAGAGAGAAACATCAATGTGTGGTTGCCTCTCGTGAGTCCCCTGCCGGGAACTGGCCTGCAACCCAGGCATGTGCCCTGACTGGGGATGGAACCGCCATCGTCTGGTTCGCAGGCCCGTGCTCAATCCACTGAGCTGTGCCAGCCAGGGTGGTCAAATTCTTATAAAAGACCAGGAGGCCCTGCTCAGGTGTGACTCAGATGGTTGGAGCTTTGTCCTGTAAACCAAAAGGCCATGGTTTGATTCCCAGTCAGGGCATATGCCTAGGATGCAAGTTCTGTCCTGATCAGGGCGAATACGAGAATGTAGGCAACTGATCGATGCTTCTCTCCCTCTCTCTCCCTCCCTTCCTTCTCCTCTAAACTCAATGAGCTTATCCTCAGGTGAGAATAAAAAAAGAAAAACGGACCAAGGAGGCTGGCCAAGGCAGTTACTGTGGTTTTCCCCAGTCCTTGGTTTCCCTGTTGTATCTGAATTAATTAAAGCACAGGACAGTGCCCATTTCTGGGGGTAGAAATGGTGAGAATTCAAGAGCTGAAACAGGGAAAAGGAAACTGCAATAGGCTGTCCTGCTGGCCCCGGGGGCAGGGCCGGGGGGGTTTTCCCAGAACTTCATTCCAGGCTCTGAGGATGATATCAGATACCAGATCCGGCTACCCAGGCTGCCCCAACGCCTTGGGCTCTGGGCTTCCTGCATTCCCCATTTCAGGAGGAGGATTATCCATTCCATGAGAAGGGGTGGGTAGGCAGAGCCTTCCCTCTGTGGGAGGAGATGGAGTGGAGAGGGCCCAGCTGTGACATCAAGGGATACAGCCTCACAGCCTCAGAATGGAATACACATTCCAATACCTGGAAGGAAGACAATAGAAACTGCTTTCAGGAACTAAGTTAAACCTCTCAAGCCCTTTTCCCAGCCTCTCCTCCCACCACCCTTAATCCCTCAACCCAGACCTACTTGAGCTGAGGGCTTCATTACCCCTTTTCACTTCCCCACTACTCCCCTCATTCACTGTTTTTTCTCTCTCTCTTGGAATGGTATCTTGGTGTTTGGAGTCAGCTGTCCTGGAGTTTGACACCCAGCTGAGCTACCTATGAGCTCTCCAAGACAGGTAGATTCACCTCCGCTCCCTACCACCAAGCCTCACTTTGAAACTATACTTATTTTTTTATTTTTATTTACTGATTTTTAGAGAGAGAGGAAGAGGGGAGAGAGATAGAGAGGAACATCGACTTGTTGTTCCACTTATTTATGCATTCATTGGTGTTATCTGGACGACACTCTAGCCAACTGATAGAGCTACTCTCCCAGGGTTCGATTTCCACTTTTATTTATTTATTTTTAAATTTTACTTATTTTTAGAGAGAGAGGAAGAGGAGAGAGGGAGAGAAACATCAACACGTGGTTGCCTCTCGTGTGCCCCCTATTGGGGACTTGGCCTGCAACCCAGGCACTTGTCCTCACTGGGAATCAAACTGGTGACCCTTTGGCTCGCAGGTGGGCACTCAATCCACTGTTGCACTTTTACAAAGGAGGATGCTATCTGTGTTCTTGGGTGTGAAGGATGAAAAAGATCACATAAATACTAAAACAGATGTTTTTCCACAAATACTAGATTATGTAATTAGGGATCAGAGGAATTTGAATATATTCAGGGTGGGCAAAACTAACTTTACAGTTGTGAGTATGCAGAACACAATTTATTCTTGTATTATTATTAATTGATTATTGTACTACTTATCATCATTATAAACCTCTTTAATTGATTATTGTACTATTTATCATCATTATAAACCTCTTTTGCTCTTTTGCTCACCCCTGTATTTATGAAACTGAACTGAGGCACCTAGGAGAATGGTTGAGACAGAAAGCACCTCTGAAATCTTTGGGCCTTAAATAACTTCCAAACAGGAGTCCAAGGGAACTGTTCACAGTATCTGCAGGTGATAAGGGAAATCACATATTTATACTTACTCTTGATAAAGTCTCAAAGTTCTCTATTTTTGTCTGGAATTGTATCAACCCAGGTGGTAAATATGGTTTTCACATGCTGTTCAGAAGTGTTGTTGACTGGTAGCTACATGAGTCTTTGATGCTTTTTTTTAAGGGAAAATAATCAGTGGAGGGTAGATTAAGTGTTGGAAAACATTAATTTTGCCTCACTGCCCATTTCATAAACAGGGAAGCCGAGGTTAAAGAAGGAAGTGGCTTGCTGGTCACGCAACTGGTAGAGCTAGCTGGAAAACCCAGTTTCCTTTCCTGGAACCAGGAAGTTCCCTTCTTTCCATTCCGGAGAGAGGGAACCTATTATCAATGGAGTTGAGAGGTTTTGGACTGCCGGTGCAGTAATAAATGACTCATCAGCTTGCTGTTGTCCTTTCTCTGTTCTTGACTCACTCAGCAAATATTTACAGACTCTCTACACTATTTGGACTTAAGAGAAAGCTGAGAGAAAACAATCATGGCAGCGAGCAGAGTCAGGATCTACTTCCAGGTCCTTCAGGACTTCTGAACTTGTGCCCCCCACTCCCGGCCATTATAAATATACAATATGGATACATGATAAAACACCTACTATTCTGCCTTCTAATTGGGTTTTGTCTGAGGGCAGGGTGAGTCCGAACCCTTTAGGATGAGTCCAAACCTTCCTGGCACCCAGTAGGTACAAAATCTATGCTGTAGTAGTGGCAACACGTGGATTCTAATCCTGCCTGCTACCACCTCTCACATCTTTGACGCAGTACGTTGCTGTCTATCTCTGGCCCTTAGTTTAATCGCCTGCGAAACGCGATCAGCAGCAACACCGTGTGTGGAAGAACTTGTAGGCTCATTTCAAGTATCCCAGACTTTAGGAGAAAGAAAATGCTGGAAAGCTTTGCTAAAGAGAAAGTCAACATCTCCTTGCCCTTGGCTTCTCTTCCTTCTCCCCTAGTTGCTCTTTTTCTTCAAAAGTGCCCTCTAGAGGGCTCGCAAGCCCTACGGTTCTAGCGCCTCACTTCCAATCGCCCTCCTTCTTCACTTTGCGCATGTGCACACCTCTCTTCCCCGGCTGCCCAGTACACGGTTCAGGGGAGAAGTCGAAGCTTGCACCCACCACGCCTGCGCAACCTCAGCCCCGCCCCTCCACCGTCGTCCCCGGAAACGCTTCCTTTCTACGCAACCGCTGCAGCAGCCCGAATCGCCGGAGCTTTGCCTCTCTAGGCCGGTAGGGACTCTCTTCCATGATCCTGTCTGTCAAGACTGTTTGGGAGGGCGGCCTGTGAGGCTGGGTCGCGTTCGGACGCTTCGATCCTCGAGTTGGTCACCGGTGAGTGGACCCCAAGGAAATGTGAGTATGGGCTGGGCCGGGCAGCCAGATTGGCAGGATTTCCCCTCACCCTGGGAATGGGTCTGCCCGCCTCGCCCTCCCCTCGCTCCCGGAATGGGCTCTCCCCTCCGTCCCAGCCCCTCCTCCCGGGCTGGGTGGTGTTGCCATAGTGACGGCCCGCTGGCTGAGGCCCCGCATCTGTCCTCGCAGGTCCCCGGGAGTCCTGAAGCCCATGGCGCGGCGGCGCTGACTCAAGCTCCGGCCCGAGGCCCTGCCGCTCTGGCCGGCATGGCGGGCCAGTTCCGCAGCTACGTGTGGGACCCGTTGCTAATCCTGTCGCAGATCGTCCTCATGCAGAACGTCTATTATGGCTCTCTGGGCCTGTGGCTGGCGCTGGTGGACGGGCTGCTGCGCAGCAGCCCCTCGCTGGACCAGATGTTCGACGCCGAGGTAGGTAGGGTCTTTGGGCGGGTGTGTCTGGGCCTCGCGGGGTGGACTTTGTGGTCCTACACTGCCGGGCTCCAGACCTGGCTGGGCCACCTGCTAGCTTTGTGACTCTGGGGAAGAAATCTCATCTTGCCGAGCCTCAGCTGCCTCATCTGAAAAGTGGAACGGCTGATAACAGAGAGGCTGGTTCATAGTGCGAAGGAAAGGGGCTGGGATGTTAAAACAAACAGGGCAGCGTTCCAGGCAACCGGACACATCTTCCTGACACTCTTGAGAAAGCGACTTCACTTCTCTGAGATTCTTCCCAAGATTCTCAGGTGACAAATTGGGGAGGGGTAAAAGAGTATTCCAGGAGGTGTGATGCAAAGTTCCTGGACTTTGGAGTCTGGCCTCCATTTAAGTTCCACTCACCGGCTGTTTGACTTGAGGCGAGTATCATCAAAATGTGAACCTCAGTTCTGCTGTACCCGAAATCACGAGACCAGTAGCAGAGAGGCTGTGGACTGCAATACAGAAAGCTTGTACTTTTGATTCAGAAAGGCTGGGTATGCAGTGTGGGCCCCCCACACGCTAGCCGTGGGCCTTTAGGCAAGTTGCTTCACCTTTCTGTGCCAGTTTCCTCTTCTGGAAACCGGACAGAATCCTCCTCTGCAGAGTGTTATGAGGTCTAAAGGGGCCCAGGAATAGGACAGTACTTTATAAACTGTAATGGGGGCCTGAGAGGTGTTTGCCCCCGGGAGGCGGCTGCGGTGTGTAGTCGTGAGCAGTTTTTGGAGCCTCGAGATCTGGGATAGAATCCTTGCTCCTGTTGCTTACTCTCTGTGTAGCCCTTGGGCAAGTTTTATCTGAAAAGAGGGAAGGGTGACAATAAGAACAGCAGCAGCTTGGTGAGGCTGTGGTGAGGATGGCAGGAGATGATGGGTATCAGAGGCTGCTGTAACTGAAGGTGCGGGGCAGGTGTGTGGTGTTTCTCGGTACTGAGTCAAGAGTGGTGGGGGGGTGTGCCCACAGGTGCCCAGTAGTCCCCTCTTAGGAGCCTCTATCCTTCTGGGATGGGCACGTGGGAACCCTGGGCCTTGTCAGAGAGACCTCTCATGCACACAGCCTGAGTGCTATACCAGGCATGTGCAAACCTTGTTTTTTAAAGGATGAGCTAGTAAAGATTTGAAGTCACAACTTACTCAGCTCTGCCATTGTAGCCCCAAAGCAGCCATAGACAATACCAAGTTGACTAAGTATGCCTGTGTTTCAACAAAATTTTATTAACAAAAACAGGTGTCTGGTCCCTGGGGCCATTGTTTGCCAAACCCTGTTCTGACCTTGCTCTTTGGGCAAGTGACTTAACTTCTCTGAGCTTTTATTCCTCCTCTGCAAGGTAAGGGGAATAACCACTTCCCTGCTGCTGTGAGGGTTCAAATGAGATCCCAGAGTGGATGTCAGTGAAAGCACCTTGTTGGAAACAGGCTGCCACAAGATGAAGCATTGTCCCCTCTGCTCTGGGAAGAATTTCCCGGGGGGCTGGCAGGGCCTGGAGCCGGGGCTCCAGTGAGTCACTTCTCCAGCTTGTCTCCGTTTGTGATTCCCCCTCAGATCCTGGGCTTCTCCACCCCTTCAGGCCGGCTCTCCATGATGTCCTTCATCCTCAACGCCCTCACCTGGTGAGTATCACCAGTTTTGCTGCCTAGCTTTTGGGGTCTCAGCACTGAAACCGACTCCCCAAATGTGGACATGAGATAGGCTGGCATTTGTTCCTCGGGAGTGGTGGACTGCAGTGGGTGGCAGAGGCCAGTGCTGGGACTGGCTCCATCACGGGCCTCCTTTCGTCGCTGTCTGAACTTAGCTGCAAAGCTCTTCATCACTCCGCGCGAGCTGCCAGTGAGACACCTTGTGTCTCAGGTCACTTCCCTGATGTGGAACGAGGTGAGGGAAGGGTTAGATTGGGAGTCGGAGAACTGAGTTCTGGGTCCATGTGCCATTGGCCAAGTCACTTCCCTCCTCTCTGGGCCTCGGGCCCCTCATCTGTACACTGAGGGTTTGCTGGCTAATACGACATCACTCGTAGTCGTAGCCTGTCTCTTGAGGGGTGGGCTGCGTAATGATTGAGATCTCAGGCTCCAGAGGAGACTCACTTGCCTTTGAACTTCAGCTTTACCACTAGTCTAGTGAGATGGGCAAGTTAATCTGTCTAAGCCCGTTTTCTCATCAGTAAAATGAGACTGATGGTATTACCCTTATCAGAGTTGTAAGGATAAGCGAGCTAATTCGTCGAAGTACTTAGAACAGTGCCCTGCATGTTACTACTCTTTTTTTTTTTAATTGATTTTAGAGAGAGAAAGGAAAGTAAGGGGTGGGGGTGGAGAGAGAGAAACATTGATTTATTGTTTCATTTATTTATGCATTCATTGGTTGATTCTTATATGTGCCCTGATTGGAGATTGAACCCGCAACCCAGCATAGCGGGACGACACTCTAACCTACTGAGCTCCCGGGCCAGGGCTCTTGCCCTTACATGGGCGTTTGGAAACTGGTGGACCGACTCCAGTTTGGCGCCCAGATATGTTCTGTTTGGCTCACACAGTTGTCAGGACATGCCTGGTGTGTAAAACATTTTTCCATTTAGTTGAAAGTCACGATGTTTTACATTTAAAAAAAATTCAGATTTCTGGCTTCTCTTCAAAAATGGGAAGATTGATTCTACCCAGCGTGATGATTTACCCAGCTGCACGTAGCTCTGGTCCTTCTTGTAGAAGGAACATGCGTGCTGCAGGGTGCCACAGGCCCCACCCATTCCCTTGAGTGACAGTTGTCGTTTATCACCACACTCACGCTTTTGTTTTTCTTCTACCTGGTCTGACTCACTCTCAGCCTTACCTGCCGAGCTCCTCTAGGCATCTACTAATGTAACCCTTGCTTCGCACTTACCTCGCTAGCTTCTGACCTCTATGCTGTCATCCTGATTGTCCCTGCTCCCCAGATAACCTAATCGAAGGCCAGGACAACCCAGTGACAACTCACTGCTGTCCTCTCCCCACAGTGCCCTGGGCTTGCTGTACTTCATCCGGCGAGGGAAGCAGTGTCTGGATTTCACTGTCACTGTCCATTTCTTTCACCTCCTGGGCTGCTGGTTCTACAGCTCCCGGTTCCCCTCGGCGCTGACCTGGTGGCTGGTCCAAGCCGTGTGCATAGCCCTCATGGCTGTCATCGGGGAGTACCTGTGCATGCGGACGGAGCTCAAGGAGATCCCCCTCAACTCAGCCCCGAAATCCAATGTCTAGAACTGGGTTCTTTGGACACCCCGCTGGGCAGGTGCCCCACCCCCCTACGCCTTGGGCTGCTCAGACCCTCCAGGTGAGGTCCAGCCCAGGCCTGAGAGGGACCCTGGGAGTGTGAAGTCTGTCCGTGTGGGAGAGATAGTGAGGCCCTGGCAAGAAGGCGGGGAGCAGTCAGGGTCCCAGCTGCTGCAAGCATGGCCCTCGTCTGCGGAAGCCTTGGTGTCTAGGAGGTCAGCAAAGGGCTCTGAACTTGGTGTCCGGGAGGTCAGCAAAGGGACATTGATCAGGGCAATAACGGAATTGGAACCATGTCACTCTTGAGCCGTCATACCTATCACCAGCCTATTATTTTAAAAAAGGAAAGAAATCAAGGATATCTGATTGGAGCGAGCCACTCTTCTGGTCATCGGTCTTACCTCCCCGGGACAGCTGTCAGCTTTGCCGTGTTGTAGGACCGCAGCTCTTCTGTTTGGAGAAACGCTCGATCTCTGGGTTCACGGCCACGGAGAAGGACGCGGGTGCACGGCGTTAGGCTGCTCTGGGGCGAGACGGCAGATGGAGGCAGCCAGGCACCAGGAAAACACACAGCCTGGGTCTGGCTGTGTGCGTGTTCACCCGTGAACCTAGAGTTCCCTCTACTGGGTCCACATCCTGCTGCCAGCTGTCAACTTAGTCGGCCTTAGGACCCAGAGAAGCGTCCTCACATCATTCCGGTCTCACCCTCATAATAGAATCTCTGCGAGTGATCAGGCACCTCAGCTCCTCCTGGACATCAGTTCTGGGCATAGGTTCTTTTTCCTGACTTCTTTGGAAGTGTGCAGTGGGAAGGGTGTGATGGGCGTCTGGAGACAGGGAGCCCAGGCTTCCAGCTCGACCTGCGCTGACGGTGCGGAGGGGGATAGGGATTTGCTGTTGAGATTTTTGTTGGGAGTGGAGTGTCTGTCCTCTGTGAGGGGCTTGCAGCTGTCCTTCCTATGTACATAAACACAGTATTTTCCACGGTTCTGCCTGTACTTCCTTTGTGATGCTGTGTAATGAGAGATCAGCACGCCAGGCAAGGGAGCTGTATGCAAAGAATTAGGTCACCTTCTCCTTTCCTGGACCCCAGATCCATCCCTCCACTTGTGTCCCGTCCCCTGCACCTGCAGCCCCCTCTACTAGACCCTGGGTGGACCGCCGTCAGTTTCAGGATTGCTGTCCCACTTCTGCGTTGGAACCGTCGGGGCTGCTCCTCGGGCCCTCTGGAGTCTGCCTGAGAGCTGTCAGCTTTCAGCTTTTAGTGTTAGCGCTGCGCAGGTGCGTTCTGGGTCTTCCCAGGAAGCCTTCCTGGCCCCCGGGCGCCCAGCCCTCCAGAGCAGGGTGTGCAGCGTGACGGGATGAAGGTTCATGAACGTGCCTGGGCGGAGGCCGGAGAGGTGCTAGGGTGGGGCGCCTCCATAACTGCGGGTGTTCTGGTGAGGCTGCAGGGTCCAGGAGGCGAGTCACCTCAGCCGGCGACTTGCCCTAGGTCGGTGCATCTCCCCCCAGACACCACAAGTCCAAAGGCACGTTATTTTGAGAAAGGTATCGGAACGCTTCGAGTGGCTGCCATGTCCCTTGGTCGCCTGTGCTGGTCGCTCCAGCCCTGCTGGCTGGCACACTTCTCTGGGGCTTTCTCTCAGGCGCTGGCGCTGTTCTGCATATTTCCTGTGATGACAGACCTCGGCCCCTCGAGTGTTAATTTCAGTTTCAGATACCACCACAAGAGTCAGGGGAGCCTTTAAAAAAATAAATAAAACTAACTGAGCTGAATGACAGTTGGGGTCAAAAATATGTGACCTTCATGAGAGTTTTTTTCTATTTGTAAAGTAACAATAAAAGCAGTATCTAGAGGCAAGTTCCAGAGAGAAGGGAGCAGTGGCAGTGATGTCATGTTAGCGATAAATAACATCTATTGAGTGCTGGACAGATGCCCAGCAGTGGGCTGAACGATTGGCCTCTCGCTCACTTGGTTCTTCACAGCAACTTTCTGGAGGAGACAGTATCAGCCGTGTTTTACAGATGCCGGTGTCGTGGGGGTTCTGCCAAAGGTTACGTGTCAGGAGCTGGGAGAGCCAGGGTTTGGGCTCCAGTAGTGACGTTAGTGAACTCGTTGGGAAGGCTTTAATAGGTGAAGGGTGTGTGCGTTCTTGGTGGTTAAATAACCTATCACTTCGTAGTCGTACATCTACATTCCACTGTACTGTTTGAATACTAAGGACAAATAGTGCTTTATAAACATTGAGGGCTTTCTAAGAAAAACATAGACAATACATTACATATGGCCACAGATTTCCAGCTGAACAGAGGAATGTAGGAAATGTTTTTATTTCCAAAAGATAAAGGAAAGCTCCCTCCACCCTGCCACCGAGTGGTGTATCTCTGGACTTTCTAGGGGTCTGGAGTCTGGGCCTCCCTCTGTCCCACCCACTGCCTGAACTTGGGCCATTCGGAGAGAAATGACAGTGCCCAGCAGGTGCTCAGAACAGAAGGACGGGAGAGGAGAACAGGGTAGCTCCCTGTAGCTCCCACGGTGCCTCTAGCCTCTAGTTTGGGGCAGCCCCGTCCAGATCAGAGCCAAATGGGCCAGGGGGCTGTCGGTCGACACCAGGGGGCGGGTGGGGTGGAGAGCTCCAGGTCCCCGTGAGACCAGTGGGTGTACACAGCTCACACGGGTGCCCCTGGAAGCAGAGGTCTTTAGACCTCAGACTCTTCGTTCGGTGACTCCCAGATCAGGGGAGCCAGTCCCAGAAGGGCCTGCGGGCAGGAGCTACCCAGGGTCCACAGAGCCTCAGAGCAGGGGCAGGCTCTGTGGAGGGGTTGAAAACCACTGTGGTGCTTGAGGTTTTCTGCAGGAAGTTAGCGAAGGGTGGTGAAAACAGCACTGAGATGAGGGGTGCCAAGAGCTGCGTTTCAATCCCTGCCCTGCCCCTACCTGGGAAGTCAGCGCTCTAGGGTTCTAACACAGGCTTGAGAGAGCTGCGATGGAGTGCAGAGTCAAGTCCCGGGGCCCAGACTAGCTGTGAGACCAGATAAACTACTTCGATAACATGGGCCCCTTCCTCATTTGTCAATGGAGGATAATAATTGTACTTTCCCCCGAGTGGTCGCAAGGATTCAGAGACGTCGTGAGTAGAGTGTGGGGCCTGGCACACAGGAAGTGACCCATAAATCTAAGTTGGTGTTGCCCCCCATCCCATTCCCCATCGTCCAGAGGACGTACCTTTCTCCTGAGCCCTTAGTGTTTCCAGCCGCCACGTAGGGGACAGGCTTGCCCAGGATCCAGGGTCAGCCAGTATTGAGCCCTGGGTGCCACACACTGAGAAGTGACACACATATTCTCACTTAATCCAATGAGATTCCCGCCATTATTTTTCTCATTCGGCAGACAAGTGGAGGGTAAGGAGTAACAGGGTCAGAAGCTGGGCCTGTCTGCTTCCATAGCCTCATATGTCTGCATTCCCGTCATTTTCAGTGCTGCGTGGGTCAGAGGGGGAGAGGGACAGTCTCGGAAAAGGTTGTGAATGTGGACGCTGGACGGGCTTTGTAACAAGCATCGCGTGCCCTTTACTGGGCAGTTAGGCAGAAAGTGAGAAACAGGGTCGGTGCTGGCCTCGGGGCCTTACTATTACGGTGCAGAGCCAGGGAGAAGGCGTGGAACAAGGCCGAACACTTGTTCGGTACCCCACAGACTGGCCTTGTCTCCATCAAGCCAGATGTGCTCAGAGCCCGCTGGAATGGACATTAGTGTCCCTGTGTAATACATAAACAGATGAAATAGCTTCAAAGAGGTGATGTGTCTTAAAAGTCACTCAAACACCCTGAAGTTAACCCACCCTCCCCCCAAGTCCAGTCAACTGTCAGGAAGGTGTCCCTGCGGTGCCTTCGGATGCCCGTGGCGGCCGTCTGCCCAAATCAGGACCTGAGCCCAGGAGAGGAGCCTCAGATTGAAGTGGTTCAGTAAAGGGAGGGGTTCGTGGGGAGACCCCGACAGCACCTTGTGGGGAGCAAGTTGCCCGGGGACCAAATGCTCGTGCTGGTGGGGACTGGCTGGAAGAAGTGGCCCCGTGAGAGTCACTCCCACAGAAGGCCTGCGTGCTTGCTCCCCCGCCACGCTCTGGGCACAGGGCCCCTCTGCTCCACGGCTTTCCCCACCGGCAGCTCCGGCTCCCTGGGGGCAAAGGGGAAGCTGCCAATCTTTCTGGGCCCTAGTTGGGGTTCCCTGGGTAGACTCCCACAGAGAATAGTGCTGCCCCCCGCCACCCCCAGGAGAGTGTTTTGGGGTTCTTTTTTTTTTTTTTTTTTGGCTGGAAGGGCAAAACTGCCCTGACTGTCTCTCTGCTGAGAGCCTAAGACAGAAGTTCACAGGAAGGTGGGTGATGGAATGGAGATGGCTTGGGAGGAAAGATGGAGGAGAGGTTATTTCTGAAGGCTGTTGGGGTTGATGATGTCCCACAAAAGAACTGAAATGGAACCGAGGCTCAGGAACTGAGCTGGGGTGCATGCTGAGCAGGAAGACGGCCTGAAGGGGAGGTTATTGGGGGGCAGTTGTGCAGCACTGGGGAGGGGTGGTGTGCAGTAAGGCAGGGAGGGAGTGCCGCCTGCCGCCTCCCCCAGGCAGAGCCCGGCAGTGCAGAGCCGTCCCACGGGCGAGCCCCGGCTGTCTTTTCTGCCGGATGCACAGTCATGCTGCTGAGCACCAGTGGGGTGGAGGGTTGCAAGCAGGAGGGTCCAGGGGGGGTCCCTCCCATCCTTTTCTCTCCCAATCTGGGGATCCCTCTCCCTCACTGCCCTGGCTCCCGGGGCTCGGTGCCCCTAGATGGCTCTGCTGCTTTCCTTTGGGCATCCGCTCAGCATCCGCTCAGCGCATCCTGCCTCTGGGGGAAGGAAAAGGGAGGAGTACAGTCTTCGTTCGAGAAAGCCTGGGCTTTCCTCTCCCCAGCTGCATGCTCAGGGCCCTATAGCTTGTGACAGAGGGTGGCTCTGACCGGATGGGTGGACCAGGGCTTTCGTTGGATGATGTATGGGCCATGTCACATGGAAGCAGTAGGAACACAGTACCAGCTTCCCGCACGACTCTCTTTCCACGATCTTTGACTCAGGTGAGGCCCAGCGATGCCCAGTTACTGACACCCAACGCTTTGATAATCAGGGCGCGATGCATGTGTGACGGGCTGGATGGATGCCCCCTTGGGCCTTTCAGAGAAGAACAGGGAATGAGTAGTAGCCAGGAGACTGAGATCAGAGTTCTTGCTCTGCCACTCCTAGTGGTGTGAGCCTGGGCAAGTGTTTCCCTTCTCTGCAGCGTGGCTGTCTTCTCTCCTTGGCTTGCAGGGCCATTGTGAGGCATCCGGCACCCAGGAGACACCCAGAAAGCACCCAGGAAATGTTCCCTTTCTGTGACTTCATAGAGCAACCGCTCAGGAGCCCTCCCCCCCCCCAATAGGTGGGAATGGGGAGGGCTGCAGCTTGCTGGCTTTCTGTTCCAGGTTCTGAGCTGACTTTAGGGACCTGGGGATTGGGCGGAAGAAGCCAGAAGTGATACACATTCCTCCCCCTGCCGCCCTCCCCAACTCCATGGAGGGCCTCTTTTCTCAAATAAGAGAATAAGCCTTTCCAGCCCCAGGCAAACAGGCAGAGCCAACGGAAGCATTCCTCAGTGCCATATGGGAGATTTTTATTTGTATACTCGCGAATTTTCCCGTCCAACCCTCCCAATCAGATTTCATGATCCACCCTCTGCTCACACTCTGGCTCCCATCCGAGGTCACACACCACCTGTGAGCAGAGACCTGGTGTTAAGAGCGAAGACTGCCACCAGGGGGCGCTGCCACCTAGGGAGAGGGCTTAGGGAGCTGGCCCTGCGGTGCCTGGCGGCTTGGAGACTGTGGTTTTGTGAATGGGAAGCCTCCCTTCCCACTGGACCTCCTAGTCCCTCACCCACTTCCTTTCTTGGGACCTGAATTCTCTCTTGGAGTGGCTGCAGTATTTTTTTTCCATGCTAAAAAACTTTTTCAGAGTAAATCGTATTTGAAGCATGAATAAAGAAAACAAATGGAGAGTTGATTTGGTTTGAGAGAGGAGGGGATTCTGCAGAGCTCTGCTCAACCACTTCACCTCCCCCCACGTTTAGAAACTGCTTCCTCAGACTTCTATGAGACTCTGAGCTGTAGCAGTAGTGGCCTCTCCTGAGGCCTCCAGGCAACAGGATGACCCACCTGGAACCCACGCTCCCAGGGTGTGCCTCTCCTTCCCCGGAGCCCCTGCTTGGGTCCTGAGGGGCTCCGCCAGGCCACTGACTGTTGTGTGGTCTTGGTGAGTGGCTTCCCTCTCTCTGAGCTTCCCTTTCTAGGCCTGAAGGTGGGGCCTCCCAGCACTGCCTGCTACAGCCCCCAAGACTGTACCCCGAGTCCCCCGACTCTGGGACCCAGCTCTGGGCCTGGCTTGGGGCCTGCATCTCACCCTGGCCTGGTAGCGGCGTTGTCACACCCTGTAGGGATGGCACATAGGCAGCTCCAGTGATGCCGAGCAGAAGCGGGTGCAGCAGCGCTTGACCCAGCGCTGGGCGGATGGTCTGCACATCACGCGGGGCCCGGGGAGGTGGATCCTCGTGGGCAGCCCCTCAAACCAGATCCACCGGTCCGCCACTTCCAGCTGCTCCGTATCCCCATGCTGGGTCTTCAGGAAGACGACTCCAGGGTCCCCAGTGGGCAGCTGCCTCTCCCCGGCTCCAGCGCAAGCGGCCAGGCGATGAACCCTCGATGCCTTCGGGCCCTCGGGCTCTACCTGTTCTTCTCTCTCTGGCACTGCTGCCCGGGACTCCCAGACCCGCTTCCTCTCCCGCAGCCCCACCTTGGGCTCGGACTCCTTAGGCTTCTTTGTGGACTTAAACGTCTTGGACTCCAGCTTCTTCATGGAGCACCTGGCCTCCTGGAGCTCTTCAGTATTCTGGTACACTTTATAGCAGACAGTGCTGCTCCTGGCAAGGAGAGGAACCGCAGTCAGCCGCGCAGGCCCAAGGCCTAGTCCCCTAGTGCGGCAGAGACTGGGGCTGTCAGGGCAGCCTGTGCAGAATGCCAGGGAGGGCCCGAGGAGGAACTTCTCTGTCACCCAGGGGCCTCGTGCCTGGTGGCAGAAGATGGGATACATACTGGCAGCACGGATGTGAGAGGCTGAGGAGGCAAAAGCAGGTGACTAGGAGGCAGGACACCTAGGGATACAGGTGGTCAGCATCGAGTCGGATTCTGCCTCCAGATTTCAGCTGATGGGGTGAACTACTGCAGTGTTTTGTTTTGGGGTTTGTTTTTTTATTCAGATTGTGGTTTAGGAGACCTGAGGGTTCTGAGGAATTCCTCTCGCCCATCCCAGGGCAGGGTGAAGGCAGGACACCTTCCTCTCAAAAAACACAACTGTGGTTTGGGGACAGACTTTTGAAGAGGGGTTCAGCTGTTTTAAAAAGGTTGGAAAACTATCCCAGGGCTAGTTGATCCTGACCCGCCAGCCCAGTGTTTGCTGACTGCCAGCGCTCAGAGGCCACCTCGGGGAGGGGCCCAGAGCAGTGGGGCTATCCAGAGGCAGTAAACGCTGGAAGGGACTTTCCTAGAAGGTGTCTGTTCCGATTGGGTCCCCTGCAGAGTCCTAGCTGGGTGTGTGGAGAGGGGCCAGGCTGTGGGCTCAAGATAATGACAACACTGATGATGCTCATGGCCAGCACTGATCGGGTGCCCATTAGGCGTGAGACCCAACAGCCTCGCCAGGGTCCTGCAAGTAGGAGGCAGCGAAGTGGCAGAGCGGCTCGAAGAACACGGGCGCGTCTGGGACAGACAAGCTGGGCTTCCAGTTCGCTTGTGCCTCCTACCGGCTGTGTGATTTGTGAAATGTAACCTCTCAGAGCCTTAGTTTTCTCCTCTGTAAAACTGGGATGATTCTGTCCGCCCAGTACGATTGTTGGGGAGAATAAATTCGGAAAGGGTTGTAAAGTATTTAGCACAGTGTCTGGCACTGAGCAGGTGCCTGACCAGTGTGGGTTTTCTTAATACTCTGACATGACTGATGAGGAAACCGAGCTCCAGCAAGATGCCTAGTCTGCAGGTGGAAGTCGGGGTTGTGTTGACTTGAGAGGGGGAGCAGGAGGGGCCCCACCCTGCCCCGTGCCCCCGGGGGGTAGTTAGTCCCGCAGCCGCATGATTCTGACCACGGTTTTGGTCACGGCTCTGGTAACAGACAGGCATGGCTTCAAATCCTCGCTCAGACACTTACCAGGTCAGGTAACTGGGACAAGTCCCTTCATCTCCTGAGCCTCAGCTTCTTATTAGTAAAATAGGGCTCATAAATACCTTTCTCTCAGAGCCTCTGTGAAAATTAGGTTTTCTAAATTCCTGAGCACAGCGCCCGTTCCTAGTAAAGCCAGCTGCTGGGTCCACGTCGGGCCGGGGGTGGGCTGAGCTCACCTAGAGATCAGGAGGACCTTCCGAACTTTGAGCGGTGAGTTCCAACACCTCTTGGCCAGGTTATGCAGTTCTTGGATCCGGGGGTTCGAGCTGTTGAACAGCCTCAAGAAGGACAAGTTTTTCAAAACCTGCCAGAGTTGGGAAACCAGAGAAACAGAAGCTTCGGTTTTCCTAGGATTGTCTCCCACCCTGTCCAGGCTTTGGCTCGGCTCAGCCCAGGGACTCGAGTCACTTAACCATGGCACTAGGAGCAGTGCCACATGGGTGCTCAGGCCCCACCCAGCTGGGACCAGAACGCGGCATCTCACCATTTTAAGTTGGTTCCACTCGATTAATTTGTGGACAGGCTGCTGTATGTCGTCCTGTAGTTTCTCATCTTGCATCTAGGAGTCAGAGAGAGGGGCAGCGCTAGCCCAGGAAGAACCCGCCCCTCCGTTTGGCTCAGCGTGATGTGACCTACCCTAGACCTCGAGTTTTGTCCCCTCAGTTTGGGGTCCGGCACGGGGAGACCATTTCACTCTCCTGACCTCCCTTCACCCTTCAGCTCCCCCTTTCCCTCCCCTGCCCCGGGCGTGGTCGGCCTCCATAAGGCCAGCCATACCCAGTCCCTAGTCCAACCTTGGAAGCCACACTATTTTTGGGCCTCTTCTTTGCCGATGGACTCATGCTGGGGCTGGGAGGCCTCAGAGACAGAGGGACCAAGACTGCTACCGGGTGCTGCCTGAGCCTTGCCCCTCTGGGTTCAGCCAGCTCGCAGGCTGGGTGTGGGGGTGGCTGTGCTGCAGCTGCCAGGGAGGGGAGCTGTGACATCACTGAAATGTGTGACAACAGCAGGGCTGGGTCTCCAAGGAGTGTGTGTGTGGTGGGGGCGGCGGTCAGTCAGGGGGAACCCCCATCGGTGGACAAGCCTGTGGCAGGCAGAGACGTGTATTGTCGCCACCTCCCTGTGAGGCAGGGGATCACTCCTCTTTAAAGGAAGAAGCCCAGGTTCAAAGAGAGTAAATAGTGTACTCAAGGCCTACAGGTGGATAATGTGGAGCCGGAGACCTAAGGTCTGACAGTCAACCCACGAAACCAGGAATTTCCAGCTGCACTCATCTGTGCATTCACATCACAAGTGTTAACTCAGGCCTGGCTACATGTCAGGTGATGTTCTAAGAACTGGAGTGAAAGAGAATTCCCGCCCTTCAGGAGCTTACATTCTAGTGGCGGACAAACAGAACTGTGTGTGTGCTCGTAAATGTTTAATAATTGGCTTCCTAAAAAAAAGTGTGTGTCGTGTGTGTGTTTGGTATAAACTTTACTGATGGAAATCTAAAATAATGAAATTTGACAATCCTCTTTATTGCAAATTCCATTTAGCTGGTCAGTTCTTATAGCGCGCTTCCCTCGAATCGGGCCCGACCCTTGCACCCACAGCCAGCCCGGGGCTGTAACAGGTGAACAAGTCCAGTGCCAGTGTGGTTGTTGCTACTCATTTACATGAAGAGTAGGAAGAAAGTGAAAAACATGAGAGAACAAAGGTGCTGGAATTCCGCCCATTCGCCAGCGACGTGGTCGCCTTATTTGCTGAGTCGGACCGTGTCGCTATTTCCATGAAACAGCTGTAGACGAACACAGGTTTACATTTACTCAGCAGTGTTAACGTCTCCGTGACTTTCTTACGGGGGGGACCACAGGTCGGGAACTTTCTTCTGGCTCTGCTGTTGTGGCACGAAAGCAGCTTGAGATGATACGTGAATGAGTGGGCATGGCCGTGTTGCAATAAAACTTTATTTACAAAAATTGTTGATGAGTTGCATTTGGCCTATGGCCAACCCCTGGTCTACATCAACAAAACAATAAATCAAACCTGATTTATCACGTTTACCTATATCTGGGGTGTAAACACTCCTTCCACAGCTGATTTCAAGCTACCAATTGATGTCACTGAACGCAGAGTTGAACAGAAATGCACAATATCATGCTGTTACATATTAGATACCGGGTCCAGCAGAAGTAACACCTGCTTGAGTGTGGTTGGTAGGGTAATGATATGGGTGTCATAATTTGTAGTTTTAATTTGAACATTTCACCTAAAATGTCATATGGTGTGCTTGAGTGTGATATGGTTATGTTACAGAATTACATGCTTGTGATTTTGTTATAAAAAAGGGGCATTATTTTTGCTGGACTCTGTATTTCTATGGATATAAAGACTCTCAACAACATACATAATAGTAAAAGGTAGTAAAAAAATTAGAAAGTGATGAGTTTGAACATTTTCATCCTTTTTTTTTAAGATTTTATTTATTTATGTTTAGAGAGAGGGAAAGGGAAGGAGAAAGAGGGAAAGAAACCTCAATGTGTGGTTGCCTCCTGTGCGCCCCCTACTGGGGGCCTGGCCCACAGCCCAGGCATGTGCTCTGAGTGGGAATCAAACCAGCAGCCCTTTGATTCACAGCCCATGAGCCACACCAGCCAGGGCTCATCTTTGTGCTTAATATCATTAATTAAGCTTGTATAACCTAATTTTTAATGGCGGCTATGTTTAACAACCAGCCAGCAAAGGTCCTGAAAATGTAACAGGCTTTTGTGAGCCCTCATGTGTCAGTCCTGGCACACCACTGTTAGGTCACACGGAGATAAGTGTGTGGAGAAAAGTGAACAGGGCGAAGGGGGTAGGAGCAGAGGGAGCAGGGTTGCTGTGGTAAAAGGGTGGAATGGGAAGGACTCATCGCCAAGATGAGATCTGAGACGAAACCTGATGGAGGGAAGGAAGGGGACAGGGTGGGACAGACCCAGGGAGACTTTAACAACGTGGGCTGCTCTGAATAATCTGAAGAGTTCGGGAGAAACAGCCTCTCTAGCACAGCCCCCCCAACAGAGTCGGCCAATCAGAGTCGTCCCATCAGAGTCGTCCCATCCAAGCGTGGGAACTGCGTCACCCCATATGGCCTCTAGGGCGGAGCGGTGTCCATGCATAGGGAGTGCTTAGCTCTGCCTTTTAGGGGTGACGGACCAAGCCCAGGGTTCAGAACAGCTTCTTACATATACAAATCCTTTATTATTAGGGTGAAGGAGTGGGGGAGGGTGGCTAAACACACCATGGCCCAGGGAAGAACCCTAGGAGGTGACTTGGGAGGGAAGACATGGAGGACAGCTCCCTCCTTCCCGTCTACCCCAGTACTCCTTGGCCCCTGTGCCCACTCGGGCGTTCTCTCCTTGCCAGTTCCAGCGGCATCAATTGGACGCTCCTGGACTCTGGTGGGCGGCATCAGAGCCATCTAATGCCCCGCTGCCTATGGGTGCCAAGTGCTGGGGACCCACTGTGTGCTAGGCACCTAGGGGACCCACTGAGTGCTAGGCATCAAGGACAGCAACATCAGAGCCAGAGCGTGCCGCCCCTCAAGCTCACAGGCCCCAGGCAGTGTGGCTCCTCAAGGCTGGGGGATCTTTCTGTTCTATTCATTGATAAATCCCCAGAGCCTAGAATAGTGCCTGGCAGATAGTAGGCACCCAAAAAGTATTTTTTGGCAAAGTGAAAGAAGTCAGGTTATCTATGGTGAAAGTAATCCCACGGGTTGTTGGGCCAGCCTGAGGAGGTCAGAGAAAAAAGGGGGAGGAGAAGTTGGTTGGGCAGAGCGGGGCGAGGTGGCCAGGGAATTCTCAAAAGAGGGAGTTTCTTAAAATACAGTTATGCGAGGGGATTATGAACTGTTATATGCTGCCACAGCAGAAAGGGCCAAAGGCAGCAGTGGCTGAAACTAGAAGAGTGAGCTTGATCACCAGGCTGCTTGGAGTTTGTCCTCAGGACCCAGAGGGCCTTGGAAGGGCCCCGGCAACTGAGGCAAGGCGACTGGGTTTGGCCCTGGGAGCCTGGCCCGGCACCCCACCACTCTGTGCTAGTCCCCACTTCTCACCCCTCACACACCCCTCGCTTCTGAGGTGCCCACTCAGGCAGTTCATCCCTTAGGGGACAGGTGGGGGCTGGGGGGGGCAGCTCCTCATGACGGATCGCTCCCAAGCCATTTTGCAGACACCAGCTGTGCAGTCCTTCCACTCATAGGGGGGAATGTCACAGTCTTTTTGTAAGAACATCAGCCATCAGATTTGGTGGCCGCCCTGATCCGGAATGATCTCCTCTTAACTGATTTGTAAAGACTCTATTTCCAAGTAAGGTCACATTCTGTGTTTGGAGGACACTATTCAACCCCGTACAGCTACTTTCATGCGGGTGATTTTTGCGTCTGCCTGAGGGGCACGTCCAGGTGGCCGGCTTCCCCGGCACCCTGGCAGGGACTCATTGCCGTATCCTTTGGGTGCTGAGGCTCCTGGTCGGCCTGCCTTCCTCCGTTTACGTTGTGCACAGCGGCCAGTATTTTAAGCTGCCCGTAGTGGAAGGGGCAGAGGGGAACGCAGCTGCTCTGTGTTGTTCAGAACTGGAAACTCTCTCTTTATTCTATACTCCCTGTGTCCCTTTAAGTCCAAGCCGGAGATGTATCTGGATGTATAATCCTTTTAAGAACCCTGGGTCACTCCGAATCTCATTCCAGTCCACTGTCGGGCAATAGCCGTGCCCACTGTTTCCTTGGATAAGCTCTTCTCTCTGTTAGGCTTATTCTGAAATGGCCAAGAGACCATACCCATAAGCTTTCTAGAATCCACATTGTTTAATTCACAGGATCTGGGAGGCACCTGTACTTTTTTAGAGGTCTTTTCTCAGACTGAATCATATGCCGAAGCATCGCGGTCAGTCTTTCATAAATGTAAACCAAAAGTTTTAGAGTCACATGCCCAGTTTCATCATGGACTATGGTTTGTTTTGGGCATTTATTTGTTTGTTTGTTTTGCAATACCCTGGATTCAAGCTTTGCTAGGAAACCATTTCTTAATTTTAGCATCATTTGCCATTTGGAAAGGTTGAGTATTTTCTACCAGGAAGTCCTGGCTCCTTTATACTTAGCAGCCCTTTGTTTCGTCATTTCCCAGCCTGAGCACTACTGACATTTTGGGCAGGATGACGCTTTGATGTGGGGTAAGAGGTGATGGGAGAGGGGTCTGCCTCGTGTGTTACAAGATATGTAAGTATTCCTGGCCTCCACTAACTAGAGGCGAGCAGCAGCCTCCGGTCTGGACAACCAGAAATGTCTCCAGACGCTGCCAAAGGCCCCCAGGGAGCAACGCTGCCCTCATTTGAGATGGATAGTTTTAGTGTCTCTCTCCCCACCTGCATTTACTCTAAGCAGCAAGGGGAGGCCGGTGCGTCTTCAACACCTTACCTGGAGATCTCCTCGGCCGGACCACTCAACTCATCGGGCACATTTTCTTCTTTCCACCTTTCCTGCAACAGGGTTGCCAAACCTCATGCCACAACATAGTAAGAATTCCTCTTTCCCCAGTT